GCAGACCGCAGCAACATGAGCATCTCCCCACCCCACCGCTTCTCCCCCCCAACAGTACGGCGAGCGTTACGGGACAAAATGTCTTCCACGACGTCCGCATCACCTACCTTCTCAAATGATGAGGTTTGTTTACATAGATAATTTTACAGATAGTATTTCATTAGTCTGTGTAGGGTATAGATTTCAGTACCGTCTCAGTTCATCTCTCTCAACTTGCCGTAGTTACTTTCGAGCGTAATGGGCGATCTCGCAATCGCTAGTTTGTTGGCTCTGCGCTGCCGTAGCGCAAAGATGTCTGCCTCCATGGCTGCGAGACCCGCTCCTATGTAATTATAAATAACGAATTCTAAGGCAATGCAAATATTAAGGTTAAGAGGCTGAGCTCGTAGATGATGATAAATAACATAGTTATGTATAATATATTACATTTCTGACTGTATATCCCTGTAATTATTAAACACTGTAGCTTTAAGTCTACACTTCATAAAAATAAAACAAATTATATTCTTACATCTTTGTTTTCCAGAACTTTCTGTTTAGGCTCCTGTTCAATTCCCGGAGCTTCAATGTCGTCTGCTTGGACGCCTAACTCTGGCCCTTGCATGGGCAGAGGGTCGAGGCTCTACAGAAAGAAAAAAAAACAATTAGAATCACAGTACAATGAGTTTAAATTGACATAAATACATGAAGTATGTAAAGATGAATAGATTTCAAATGATCAGACGTTGCTCTCAGTAAAAGTGCACAACAGGACCGTTCAACTAAGCAACACGTCGCAAACAGTAAAATGTCAGATGCCATCATAAACAACTCCCATAATAGCCCTCATTTTGATAAACGATTGTTTTTAGAGTACATCAATTTGACTCATGAAATTAGCCAAAGGGCATTTTCAGATCAGACCATAGCTTTTGAAGGGCAAGTTACCAGATAAGGTACACCAAGGTGTTGGAAATAAAATAATTGTTTTATAACTGATACATTTTTCCTCCATAGTGTTGCTGTGGTTTGAAGTTAGATTTTAGAAGCTGCACCAGAAACAGCATGATTGATCGAGTTTTTCTCTGACTCGGATCAAAGGGTAGCTGAGGCTGAGTAAAGGGTAACTCAGCCTCCCCTATCCCACCTGTTGCTGCTCATTGCTAGAGAGATTTTTACAGACATAGAAGATAAGATAATGGTGGAATGGACAAGCTAAAGACTACAGATGACTCCTGTTTAGGTAGCCCTGGTTAAAACCTTTTTTTATTTGAGGAATAACTGCTAAAGCACAGACAGACTAATAAAGCAGCTTAGACTGACTTATTATACTTGTGTTATTTTAAAAGAACAAAATGGCAAAAATGTAAAGTATCCTTCACATTAGGGCTGTAATTAAAGATTATTATGCATATATATTATATTAATTATATTATTCCATTTGAGTTCTGGAAAGAGCAGCCTGACAGATGAAGCTTTTTTTTTCCATCTTGAATGCAAATCTTTTTTATATATTTCTTTACAGTTTTGGTATAATAACTGCTTTAAGTGGGTCGCTCTGTCAGCTAAAGGCATGTTTTAGAGTTTCTATTCTCCAGATAAGGATTAAATAATCAGAATTTTTTTTTTCATCCCTACTTCACATTAGGGTATTTGAGACCTACAACAAATTTCTTTCCATATCAAATTTCTACTTGTCAATATATCATAACAAACACATTGCAAACAGTAGGATATTAAAATCAAACTCCACAGCTTCAGGCTGCAGTAGGAATAAATGTCACTGTTTCAAATAATAACATTAAATATAAGATTAACACAATAATAACATTAAATATTAATATGCAAGGAATACATTATACTATGGGGTTTAATGGAGAGTATTATGCAGCACTGCATTAAAACTGGTGCAAAGAAAGCCTTTCGCAGAAATTATTGAACTGAACTGTCACAAACCTCAGGTTCTTTTTAAAACTAGGTTTTTTATTAGACTTATTGAGTCTAAACTTGCCTAACTTTCTTTGTAGAGAAGCTAATTTTCACTGGGGCTCTGATCATGATCTATTGGTTTATTTTATTAATTTTTTGCCCTGCTTAGAGTCTGTATCACTGTCTTTTTTTTTTTTTACAGCAGACTGCTGGTCATTTACAGATGAAAAGGTTTTATTGGAAAATGAATTGTAAAATGTAAATCATATTCGTATCTATATATATATATATATATATATATATATATATATATATATATATATATATATATATATAATTTTACAATTTTGGTATAATTCCTGCTCTAAGTGGGTCACTCAGTCAGCTATAGGCATGTTTCAGAGTCTCTATACTCCTGTTAACAATTAATGTATAACTAAATTAGTTGAGGATTATTCAAATAATGGATGAATTGTTTCAGTCCTGGTTTTAAGGCATTTTCCTGCTGCATAGTTAGAACATAACAGCATAGAGACTCCTGCTCCATCTGTTTAGTATCACTGATGGGAGTTTATAACCATAAACAGCTGATTTTATTACACTTAACAGGAGTTAATTAAGATTAGAAAACTTTGAGCTGATATTAATAGTGTTCTGCTTTAAGTTGTCGGCATGTTAGAGAGTTTAGCGTGTAGGGCCTGCAGAAGCTGCTCTGTCAGATAAAAAGCTCCCAGAGGTCAGGCTGCTAGCTAAACCGGCCCGCGCGCCGGACAGACGTGTCCTTACCCTGGCATGGACGCTGCCCATGCTGAGCTCCGCTGCCCCCAAAAACTTACGACGAAACTTTCCGTGGAAAAGGAAAACTAGTTTAACCTACAAAGTAACCGAGGAGCATCCGTATAAGGAGGCAGCCATGTCACTTCCTGGCCACGCCCCTTCCGGTACGCCTTCACCAGCAGCACACCGCTGTGTGAAACACGAAGGTCTTCAACAGGGGGTCCGCGACCCCTAGGGGTTCCACAGAGGTACTGCATGCAGGTCGCTAAAGTTTTGGTTAATAAGAGTTTTTTTTTTTATTCCCTCCTGCAATTTTTTCCACTAATTGAAATGTCTTTAAATCCACATTAACATGAATTCAACAGACTGAAGTAAACAAATAAATGGAGGCAGAAGATGTCTTTCAGTCATTAATGTACACATTCAGCGACACACAGGAGCTCTTTCAAGCTGGACACCGTTTCATTCAAAACACCAGTCCCATCAACCAGGAATCAGAAATACTTTAATAATCCCGGGGAGAAATTACTTTAGTTACATTACTCCATCTGTAATAGAGTGACGATAGGACCAGTTTGATAGAACACTATTTCATACAATATATATAATTGGGGGTCCCTGCTCCATCTAACCATCAGTTTGGGGTCCTTGGCCTGGAAAACGTTGAAGACCCCTGATAGACAGATTGCACTTTAGAATACAAACGTTTCCTTTGTTTAACAGGACCAGACCTAAACTTAAGTGTTTTATACTTGGAAATCAAGATTATGTTTTTTGAAATTACGGAATCCAAAACAGAGATCTTTTATTTCCACAAGGGATAGATATCTGCCATTTCCCTTCATTTTAGAAACAATTTGATTATAAAATCTGTGGAGGACCAACACTGACATAATAAAAAAATAAAAGCAGTAATATATGTACTGTACATATATAAATATTTTCCTATATATGCATTTTTCCTGCTTTTTTTATTTATGTGAGTTTTGGTCCTTCATAAAAACCTCTATAAGTTGTTACATTCATGCTGATTTCTGCACAGTTTCTACCTTAGTCAGTTAAATAACCTGCTGCTGTCATTTTGCACATCTCTATTGCTGGTATTTTCAAACATCCATTATCGTAAAAATGTCCAAAGCTGTATATTGATAGTTTATTCTGCAGATGCACAGTATTTATATTGTAAAAACACTGTGGTGTGCAGTATTTCATTTATTTTCTTAATTCTGTAACTTATTCTGTTAATTTTATACACTTTTCTAAGGTCCACATTTGAGTGACCAATTATCCTACAATCTTCTGCTGCGGTAACACAATTTCCCCATTGTGGGACAATAAAGGGATTTTCTATTCTATTCTGATTACATCATATCCCAAAATAAAAAAGCCAAACCCTAATTCTTAAATGTTGTCTTATACAATTCAATTGACTTCAAAAATTATTTATTAGTCCCAATGAGAAATTAAATGTTGCAGCAACTCATACGTTATATTTAAAAACAGTTGCTGTGTAGGCTGGAAGGATCTCCTGTAGAGGTCTGTCTTTCACCGGATCTGATGAAGCCTCTGACTGAAGACACTCTTTTGTACATTTTCTGGAGAGGATGCTCGCTATTGTGCATAATTTTCTTCACTTTATGAAGAATTATTCTTTGTGAAATCATCTCCAGAGGTTCTATATGACTTCCTAGAACAGAGCCGGCCTTCTTTATCAGCTTGTTGAGCTTTTTTAACTCATTAGCTCTGATACTGTTACCCAGCAGAGGATGGAAGCGGAGATCAAACTCTCTACCACAGACTTGTAGAAGATATGTAGCATCTTGCTGCAAATGCCAAAATTATAATATTTAAATCAATGGCAATCATTCTTTAATGATGTTTTGCATCGACAGACCATAACTGATTTTTCCCTTGGAATATTCTTATATTTCACCGCTACAATTTTCTTGAACAGTTATTTAGAAAGGACAGTGAGTGTTAAGCTTCATCTCTATTGAGATTGGATCAAAGTTTTCATTCGATCAGGCGTCTAAAACCTTGGCTTTGTTGCTCAGTTGATTTACTAAACAAAGAACTCTTGCCCTGATTTTCAGTGTGTGTTTTGGTACTTTTCTTGCTCTCTGCCCCCATAAAGAAAACATCCATCCCGTCCTGCCCCCCTGGTAAATTTCCTTTAGAACCGCCACTGGTTAGTGTGCATAATATTAAAGCTTTACAGTAAAAAATGGATTGTTGTTATGTCAAACATTTGTTTTTGGTGATTCTGGCACCAACAAGATTTTTTTTACCAACAGGGAAAGACTATTTCACAAAAGTGAAAGCTAAATAATGTATTAGTTCATGTTTACAACGAAATGACAAAACAAAAATTACATCATAAAAGCAAGAATTCAACAGAAATTTCTGGATATCCTGCAGGATTAAATTCTCCAGCCTTTTTTTTTCAATCCTAGCAGGGTGACTTTTGATAACGGCTTTGCAAACATTAATGAACAGTAAATAAATGGCCTTTTCAAACAGAAAACATATCCTCAGATGTGTGCATATGTTGCTGAGCTTCTTTGCAGAGCGTCCATCCTAAAAAGAAATCACAATATGAACTCACAGGAAAAGACATGTAAAAAATGCCTGACATAATAGACTCAGCAACGTGCACCCACGCTTCAGTTTTAAAGGTTTCACGGGATATTCTGTCTTCATTTGCACCTTCGGGGCATTCGTTGAAGTCTTTTAATCCAAGCATGGCCAGAGCTGTGAGGGGAGAAAGATTTGTAAATAGCATGCAAAGTTTTGATTCTGATTTCAGAAACATTCACATTGAGACACTCTAACTTGCATTACCAGAAAAATGCCTGATAATAATATATGTGATGAATACATCACAACTGGCTTTGTTGAGATTAATAAAAACATGAAATATGCAGGTTAGCTGCGTTACAGTAAACAACACAATGAACCAATAACAGTAGTTTTACAGGGGTGTTAAGGTCAAATTTGTTCAACTCTAATCACAATTTAGTAAATGAATAAATACATAACATTTGACAGAATATTGATTCAGAACCCTATGGTATGTTTACACCAAAACTAAAATTATTTATTGCAATCATCTATTTGTAATTATATGACTTAAAAAAAAACTACAACTATTTGACTATCAAAACCTGTTGTCATGTTTTATGGTTATTTAATACATATAAGTTATGAAGGATTATTTGAAGAGTTTGTCATGAGGGATCTCTTTTTAGGGAAAAGAACCAGAGAGAGAAAGCTTCAAGGTGTGAACACAGAGGGCTGATCTTTAACACCACTATAATGGGTACAATTACTCAAAATGGTAAATGGCATGTACTTATATAGGGCCTTTACTCAAGTGAGGAGATTTGACCAAAGCGCTTTACACTACATTCAGTCATTCACGCACACACTCATACACTGATGGTGGCAAGCTACATTGTAGCCACAGCTGCCCTGGGGCTCACTGACAGAAGCAGGGCTGCTGTAAACTGGCGCCACCGGGCCGTCTGACCACCATCAGCAGTCAATGCAGGTGAAGTGTGTTGCCCAAGGACACAATGTCAATTTAAGTCGGAACCGGGGCTTGAACCTTCAATCCTTCGATTTCAGGCCAAACTCCTACATCCAACGCCACTGTCGCAAAATGCAGCATAGAAAGCAGAAAATCCCTGAATCGTTTAAGGGTTTCGGTGGGGCCGGTGTTTATCTCTCCAGCAGTCAGATCGACAGATCACCATTCTGTAGCATGGCAACACAGACACACACAAAGAAGCACAACCATGTGCACACTCACACCTAAGGAGAATTTAGAGAAACCATTTCACCTGACAGTCATGTTTTTGGACTTTGGGAGGAAGCTGGAGTACCTGTAGAGAACCCACGTTTGTACGGGGAGAACATGCAGACGCCATGCAGGAAGACCCCGGGCCGGGAATCAAACCCTTGCTGCAAGGTAACAGTGCTACCCACTGGCCCACTATGCAGCAGGTTTATCAATGCTTTAAATCAGACTTCCTTAACCTTTTAGATTTATCAGCTTCAACCCACCAGGTCATTAGCAGGCCTCTGGAGAAGGGGATTGCATGGAGGTAACTCAGCCATTTAATGTGTGGAAGCACAAACACACCTTAGATATGCAGGACAACGGACCTGCAGGGCCGGAATTGAGGAAGCCTGCTTTAACAGTATCAGCGACAGTAAAAAAAACAAAAAAAAACTTCTTGATTATAAATGACTATGTACCTGCAGTTTTGTGTAATCACCACTCACCATGCTTATACTGTGAAAAAGTGATGGATGTTTGATTTGCAGGTTTTAGGAACCCAAAGATTACATCCAGGTTAGAGGAGTGGAACAGGTTTGGCCCTCTGACGTCGCTCTCCTTGGCTTCCTTAAGCTGCTTCAGGTACTCAATGAGAAACTCCCTCAGATTCTCTGATGACACAATCATTACAAGAGGTTAACTGCAAACATCTCTTTCTGATGAACAATGGCAATTAATTGTTTGACAAATATAGAAGCTTGATGCAGGGCCATTCTCACCAGAATAATCATTAAAAAATCCAATCAAGATGACAACATTTCGGCCAAATATTGCTCTCGGTTTACAGTTGTGACTTAAAGGGGGTCGTTACCATTAGGCAATACTAGCCATTTGCCTAGGGCCCCATAAAACACTGTTTACATGTATAGTTAATACTACTATTCCTTATTTGTGGACATTAATTATGTTTTTGATCAAAATGCTTTGCCTAAAATGCCATAAGAACGCTTATAATATTAAGAGTGTCTCAGCTGAGTATAAAACATAGAGAGGAAAACAACAAGAAGAGAGGGACTAAATGTAGAATAAAAAATGGATGTCTATTCTATTAGAATTTCTCTATCTGTATAATGGGTCTGTTTTATTTGTTGTCTTCTTAATCCAAAGGGCCCCCTGCCTGTCTTTGCCTAGGGCCCCAAATTTCCTAAATCCGCCCCTGGTGATTAATAGTTAACAGTTTTGGGCTTTGAATCTTGAACCTTTCTTTTTCCACACTTTTTTTTCTCCACTCAGTAATACCACAGATCTCAATTTAATTTAGATATTTTTCATAGATAGGTTTAGATACTAGAAAGGATGCTAAAAAACATAAAACATAAATCACTTGGTTCCAACTTCCAGAACTTTTATCTGTGAAGTAAAATGAGAAAAATCCATGAACTAGCAGGAAGTAATTGCTAACAACGACAATGATGAATATTGTGTTTGGGGAGGAAATAAACTCTAACCAGGTCTGTGAAACAGCAGCATGCTCATCATGTCGTCCATGAGTTCAGTAATCCTGTGTTTCTTTAGATATTCCGCCGCGTCTCTCTCTCGCTGGGTCGCCATGTTTTTTTTTCTGTCGGAGCTGGTTGCTATGCCGTTGCTATGCTTGTGTGCGCGCACACTGATCGCGCACTGCGCAGCAACGACGCCGAAACACGATCTGTACCGCGCATGCGAAAACATTAAATGTGTTTAAATAATGTGATTATGGCACTAAAATTTCTTATTTCTATGCTTAACTCACTAAAGAATGCTAATACAAATCTTTAAAAAACGTTTTATGACTTTAGTGAGAGAATTCTGAGAAAAAAGACTTTTTTCCCATACTAAACTGAAATAATATTTAAAAATAATTTTTTTCACTTTTTTTTTTATCCAGTGGCCCTAATCATCTTATGTATTAATTTGTAAATGAAAGCCAATAATAGAAAATTTGTTATCAAGTCACAATTTTACAAGACTAGAAGTACAGATCACACATTTACCACCCATAAAATAATACTCATAAATATGTGACTCACATTCTTACATGTTTAATCCGTAAATTTTTTGTACACAAATTAATATTCATAAATCTGGGATTCATACTTGTAAATGTGTTATTTGTACTTATAAACATGCTATTCTTACTAATAATTTTTTTATTTTCATCTGTAAACATGATTTGTACTTATGATTCATTTTAGTAAATTTGTGATTGTTCCTCCTAATTTCGTGATTCATACTCTTTCATTTATGATTTGTAAACTTGCAATGGCTATCAGGGGTCTGGAGAAAAAAAAATCGATTTGGTGTTATATCGTAATTTTCCGCTGCCCAACATATTAACAATCTTTCAGTTCCTAGTATACAGTAGGGGTGTAAATAATAATGGTTTTGTATCGATGCATCGATCCAACAGCCGACGATCCGATGCATCGATACGTCCGCAAGAGAATCGATTCTTTTTTTTTTTTTTTTCCTCCGGTCTATTTTTATCCATTTGCTCCTGGGCGTAATTCTCCCTCCTGTGCTGCGGTGGCGCTAAACCTATTTTGCCCTCCTACCTCGCTTCCTGGTTATACTCTTACAGCAGTGTATTGCAGTGAGCTTGACACAAACATTTTATATATACACTATGGGTCTAGATACAGCTGAGGCGGTGAGGAAGTGGGGGCAAGTTTAGTCCAACGGAGGGACATGAGGGCCAAAAAGAGCGGAGATCCAGGTGAAAAAAAGGGTCCCAGCGTTCTCACGCACCTCACTCTTCTAGAGGGTCAAACTTCACGAGTTGTTTTCCGCAATTTCGGTCATAAAAACAAACCAAGCCGGCCTCCTGTCTGCGGTCAGCTACAATTTGGAAGAGGTACAGCAGAGCGTTTGTGGAGGGGGCGGGAACGTCTGGAGCCGAGGTATTGCACTGCACTCATTGCACTGATTTTGTGCAGTATTTTTTCCATGCAAAGCCTTTCAGAATCTATAACGCAGCGGCATTATACTTTTTCCGTGAATGAGGTTTTAATAGGAATAGGTGGAGTGCAACTTTTCTACTTCTGTTATTTGCTGTTGTGTCTCAAAGAAATGCATAACGATATTACAGCTTTCATTGATTTATTTCAAATTTGAAACATTGTCTAGCCTGTAAGGTGTAAAAAAAAAAAAAAGACCAATTAATCGTATCGTATCGTGGTGTATTCTTGAGTATTGAACTGAATCGAATAGCCATGATAGGTGTGATTTACACCCCTAGGGTAAATAAAACTGAACATTTTTTATCTAAAACAATGAGGGGAAAAAGGGCTACCTCTGCACTTCCACTCTGATAGATGGCGCTGTGTAGCCCTTTTGCTGTGTGGCGCAGCACCATCTGTAGTTGAGGCAGTCACACTCAAACCCCAAACAACATGGATATCAAACTTACTAAATAATCAATATCTTCTGATGAACATATACAGCACTTACTGTACCTTTTTATCTATACATTTAATTTTGATAGCTGGGAAAAAATATTGCATTAGTGATATTGCAGTATCGTGATAATATCGGATCATATTGCAACACCTATGCCAATACTCGCCCCTAATGGATATATTTGTGCATTTGTGAATTTGTACTACTACTGTGGCAAAGTTTGAACCTTCTAATTTGTAAACATAACTTTTAGACTTATAATCCTGCAGATGAAGAGCTGATGTCACATGTATCTAAAAAATTACTGTTGTTATAGTATACTAACACATTACTATTACATTATCTGACCACATAAAAAATGCAACGCTGACAAAAACATTCAGTTCTGTGAAAATATCATTTTTTAATTTTTTGTACAAAAATTAAACATTTCATAAACACAGACATTTGACAGATTTTAAAATGTTGTGGTATATCCTGATAAGTATTTAAGCAAGGTTACATGTTTTAGTCTCCTTATTATTTTCTAAAGGAACCATATTTAAAATGTAATAAGATTGGCTGACAGTGGTCAAAAATTTTGCTCATCAAATTAATTCATGAAAAGCAAAGTGTGCAGGACTGTTTGAAACTGATCATTATAAATGACTAAAGTGCAGTAGAATGCAAACATCCTGGAGGTCATAATGATGTGGAAAAGCAACTTTGTTGTCTTGGATCTGTTGTGTTTTATTTAGATATCAAAACATATTCTTTGCAGATTACATTAAGTAAAATAAAGAAACATATACATTGTTGTTGAACCTGAGAGGATATCCTCCCAGAGTACATTGCAGCATTTAGTAAGTAATGTTGAGAACAGCAAGATGTCTTCAAAAGAAATCAGTCCACATTTTGTTCCTCTTTTAGCTTTCTTAAAGCAGCAGCAGCTTCTTCTCTAGCTTTATAACCATGTAGTTCAGTGCGAAGCTCTCCAGGCTTTGGTGGAACTTCTGGTATACTCTGAGATAGAAAATAAAAAAATAAGCAAACTTGCTATATGTTGTAGAATAAAGTCACTTTGAAAAACTATTATTGAAGAACTATTTTGTCAAAAAAAATTAGAAATGTCTGTAAACATTTTATGAGAACATCACATTGCTTCAAATTTACAAAAACAGCCTCAAAGGTAAAGGATGGATTCATTGGCTCCTACCAGATCAGGGAGATAGTATTGGTGGACGACCTGTGCTCCTGCAAACATGGCCAGAACACTGGCTCCCAAAAACCGGATGTACCGAGCCCACGACACACCAGCTGGCATCTTTACAATATGATGCGATCTTACTCAGCCTGTGGGCAAGATGAAAGCACAAATAGACTGTTAGGATAATTATCATTGATGATGTGTGAGTTTATTACACCTTGGTATTGGCTGCCTGTTGCGTGTCAGAACTCATGTTTTAATCTAATTAGGACGGTTCCTCTGTCTGGATATTCAGTTATAGTCACCATTCTGTACATGGCAAAGATTTGGAAATGGAATGAGAGCGGAGTCCTTCAGCCAAGAACAAAGTGGAATATTTTGATAAGGCTGGAGCTGTGGATGAATCCTCATCTGCTAACATGCATGATGTAAAATAAGATGATGTGGCAGACTGGAGATGTATAAAATGCCTTTTTAACTGTTAATCGGGGCCACTTCCTGATAGGTGAGCCTAGAGGTGAGCAGCTGCCTTCTGTAACTCTAAGCAATTTCTCTGATCTGAGTAAGATTACAATTTCTATCAGAATCTGTTGTCATGTCTCCTGGTTATTTAATACATTCATATAAGTTATGAAGTGTTATTTTACGAGTTTGTCCTGAGGGATCTCTTTTAAGGGAAAAGAACCAGAGAGAGAAAGCTCCCAGGTGCAGACACAGAGCTTATCTTTATATATCTTGTTTAGATTTCTGTGTATAACACCATGGATTACATTAGGCTGAACAATAAGCACCTGGCAATGGACCTGTCTGTGTTGCAATCTACCATGGCTTCCACTGACTGCTTTAGAAAAGCACCAGGGTAAATGTAGGGGATTTTGGCAGTCTGTTTTAAATATCTGATCTATACTATTTACACGTTGGTTCACCCTGCATGTCAAAACACTGGTTTGGTTTAAATGATTGTATGTTTAGTATAGTTGTCCAGCTCTGTCCCAGTTTGAAGCCATTGCAGGTCTCTTTATAAAGAGCTTCATACATCTTCTAAAGAATGTATGAAGCTAAAGAAAAAAACAACCCACAGCATGATGATGCCAGCACCAGGAGCCAGTTTGGTGACAGAGTTCAGTTCAGGGTGATGGGTCACTGGCACCTTCTTCTACTTGTTTGCTGCGTCCCTTCAATGTGATAAAGTGAACCATTCAGCCTCTCTCCCTATGGAGAAAGTCTGCTTTGTGCTCTGCAGGAATGATCACTATGTTCTATTCAATTCCGTTTATTTATATAGCGCCAAATTCACAACACAAGTCATCTCAAGGCACTTTACAGTTCAAATGTTGGGAACTTTCAAAGCACTCTTTATGTTGTACTTCATTTTTTTCAACCGCTATGTAAGCGTTCCCCCAATAATACATCTTTCAGCAATAAATGACTTTTCCAGCAGTGATAATATCAGTTTCCACATTAACTGTGTGTAAAATGAAGCACGCGCCCCACGAAGGTTACCAAATTAGCCCTCAATAAACAGCACTAACTTCGGATATATTTAATATAACAGGAACTTATTAATCCTTACCTGCTTTATAAGATCAACAAACATGTCCAAATGTAGAGCTGTTGCTAAACTTAAACCACCGTGTCTGTCATTGAGACAGAAACCAGGCAGGTCGTTATGTTTAGCTAACTAATAAACGATCTATACACGGAGACTCTCACTCTGCAAGATTTAACGAATCTCAAACAGAGACTGAAAAGGATGAATTTTGTCCCCTTACATTGGTTTAAAAATAACACATTTAGTATGATGTTTTTGCTCTCAAACCAGATTATTGAATGATAAGGACCGAGACTATGAGTATTTACCAACTGGATTGGTAAACACTGGATTTCTTTCTACGAAGTAATGAGTGTTTAAAATATGCGATCTTTCCCAACAATTTTCTTCTTTACTATTTATTTGCGGTGGGTACGTATTAAAAGCTGCATCTATCCCCACCTAGCGACAGGTTATGTTACTCCATGTAATAAAGTATCTGGTGTAAGTATTCTTATATTGCAATCACTAAACCTTATTCAGCGGTTCGTATTATCTATTGTATGTAAATATAATTTTATAATCATATGTAGCATAGTATTATAAAAAACAAACAAACAATAAATCAAATAATATGCCTTTTGCAGTATACAATATGAGCACAAGGGGGCGGAATAACGTCAGAAAAACCACATAGAGAAGAAAATATCGAGCGTTTAAATGCTCTTTGTTTTGTGGCTACCTCGTTTGCTATTTTTTCATTTATGAGAACATGTATGACAGGTACGTTTCTTCACTCCAGAGCGTATTTGGTCCGTTGATGAACAGATCGATCATACATTTCAGGACATCTATAAATAATTATTTCTTTCTAGCTGTTAGCCTGATGCAGCTTTAGCTACCTTCTTCCTCCAGCAACGATGATTCCTCTTTGTGTTTTAACCGAATGTGTTATTTTTCTAATCTAATGTGTAATCAGTGATTTTTAGCAGTAGTGTATGTTACATTAATAAGTCAACAGTTAATATGGAGGAAAAGCCGTTTACAGCACTGACGGTTCCCACGGATTATTTCCAGCAGTGGTGAGTTGATGTGTGACTGGAGGACTTCATCTCATCTCCATTATCATGCATGATGGAGGCTGATCAGACTTTACATCCACTCTCCTTATTGCTCTGCATACCTGGACTTGATCAAAATGATAGATTTAGAAATGTCTTGTTAAAATGTGGTTTTTAGATGTGTGTTTTGTGACTGTGTGCATCAGGGACATTCAAAGACGACAAAATGAATTTTAAAGTGGCATGTTTACAAGAATAAACGCGCAAATTAACGCGTAAAAACACCCACATTTCTAAGCTAAGCTTTTATAACAGGGGTGGAAAGGTATTATTGGGGGGGCGGGGGGGGGGGGGGGGGGGGGGGGTCAACATATAAATCAGGGGTAACCAATTAAATATCATAAGGGTCCGAATGAAGAAAATCATCAACCAGGAAAGGTGTGAGACATTTTTAATTATAATCTGTTACTTTAAACAGAATTTAACACCGAAATAAAATGAGTTTTTAATGTATCCATAGTATAAATTGAAATTTTAAAATAAAAATAAAAAAATAGAAAAAAAAAAGAAAATTTTTCCATTTTAAGATCTAAAGTGTTTTTTGAAGTAGAGAAGAACAATCTTTCAGTTCAGTTTAAAGACAATTCCCTGATTAATAGTTGCTTAATAGTATTGAATTTATCAACCGATTTTAGAGAAAAAACCCGTTCTCTGCTCACCTCACAGCAGTGTTGGTTTATGGTTTAAATATACAATTATTTAGATTGAAACAAGAGTAAATGTGTGGAGAAGAAACCCCAACAGGGTGTGGATATTTTTGTAAGGCACTGTACTCAGTGTTCTTATTTAAATGAGCTACAAAGATGGTTCAATATAATCCCCAGATTACAAAGGTTTACATGGATGCATGTTTGTCTGTTGGTATTGTCTGGTGAAAATGTGCACTATTTTCCTCACCCACACCGTGAAACATTACAGTCTTTCCAAATATCCTGCTTTCTGTTTGATTGCTCATCATTCTCAGCACTCATGTCTTTTATTTTCTTATTCTCTCCAGGTACCAGGCCAATCAGCAGCACCCTGAGGCCCAGCATGTGATGCCGTACCACAGCTTTGGTCACTACACCGACGGCTACATGGAGGAGCCCGTCATGGCAGAGCTGTCTGTCCACAGGGAACCATCGGAATACCAGGAACCCTTTTACCACAGCTTCCCTCCAGCATCAAATCATTACCAGGAGCAGATCAGCCAGCCGAGCTTCACGGAGCATCAGCAGAACCTGCAGCCCCCTGCAGCCCCCCAGCAGACTCAGCATCAACATATGATCCAGCAGCAGCAGCAGCAGCAACCTAACATCCAACCTCATGGCTCCCCTCAAGGTAAACCAGCAGGTCATCAGGCTCTTTGTGACATTGGTTTACATTCCTTTAATTGCTTTTTGAATTAATTACGGACCAAAACTGAGACGCTGAGTTGTGTTCTTGCTCCCTCCAGTTTTAACGCCAGTAAAGAAGAAAAGAGGTCGACCCTCTAAGCAGCAGGCGGAGGAAAAGCAGATCAAGGAGGAGGTGGACGAAGCAGAAGCTGCCAAGAAAGCAAAAAGGGTTCTGAACCGGTTCAACGGCATGAGCGTGGCGGAAGTCATGAACAAAACGCTCCCTGATGTTCTAACCTACAACCTGGACATTTTAATAGTGAGTTTCTTTGCCTGGGTTACGGCTGTTGAGTGGTTGGCTGTGGATCAGCAGCTCTTTCCTGCATCGGTGACCTCTTCATGTTTGTCCTCAGATCGGAATAAACCCTGGACTGATATCCGCCTACAAAGGACACCATTACCCAAACCCAGGAAACCATTTCTGTAGGTTAAAATTAATTGACTTCCGGTTCACGGAGACACGCGATATGAGCTGTTCATAGGTTAATCTCCCGGACCAAGTCTGTGGTTATACAATAAAGAAAAGAAAGCTTCTTCTGGCTTAAGCTAACTTGTGAAGCAGAAAACTCAAGTCAGGGATCTAAACGAGAATAAACAACAGGGCAGATTACAGATTACCTACACACTGTCAGGAAGGGAGATTAGAAACACGTCTTTGTCTAATCTGATATTTTTTCAAGAAGGGAGCATTTTAAGTTGTAGTTATTTTAATCTAATCTCATACTGAGAACAAATTACTTTCAGGTACCTGAGTGAAGTTGACCCCCCCACCTTCTTCAAATTAGTCAAAATTAGTGTCAAACGTTTGTGTGGCAAAAATTTTTGTTTGTGCCACTATCATTTTAAAGATATAAAGAGATGTTTCTAGAGGTCATCAAAGGTCAACCCCCCAACCTTCAGACGAAATGGGTGTCAATTATCTCGGCTCCTTTTGTGCTTGTTTGTGCAGCAAAAACATGTTAACTGACCTTTGATGACTTCTACAAAATATTAGTAATATCATTGAAACGATAGCAGTACAAATGAATTTTTTTGCCATACAAAAATAAAAAAAAAACTTCACTCAGGTCTTTCACCTGGACTTTGCTCATTAATGACTCTTTGTTTAATGCATCACTTTCCTTCTGATTCATAATGATGTGCTGCTATGATGGTCTATGGGCCTATTAGGCTACAGAATCCTAAGAAATACATTAAAGCTTTTCTTTTTTGATGCAACAAAGCAGTTTAACGGGTGTTAATGTTTCTGGAAGGCTTCAATTGGGTTCTATTTTATAGAATATACAAAGTTGAATCTGATTTTTTTTTTTTTTGGCCCATTAGGGACCTAATGCTCTCATTCTAATTGTTTTATTTTAGGGAAATGTCTGTTTCTGTCGGGTCTGACTGAGCAGCAGCTTAACTACATGCACGACCAGAGCCTGCCTGAGAAATACAGCATCGGCTTCACTAACATGGTGGAGAGGACCACACCGGGCAGCAAGGACCTCTCCAGGTAAACTCATGAGTTACTTACTTCTGTCATATTATTAAACTGAAAAGGTGTGTTTTCTTTTTTAATTCCAAGGTCATTTTGATGATTTATTTTTGTTTTTAATCAGCTGTTAAAGAAAGTTTCCCCTTTTTTGGTCATTTTCTGTTTGGCAGTAAGGAAATCCGAGAAGGAGGCCGACAGTTGCTTGAAAAGCTGCAGAAGTACAAACCGTTAATTGCCGCTTTTAATGGAAAAGGTGAAAAAGAAAAAGTTCCTGTTTCCATAATAAAATATCTCACCCACCCAGACGTTGATGGCGTACATCAACAACCATTTTATTCATTTTATTTCAGGAATTTACGAAATATTTAGCAAAGAAATCTTCGGCGTAAAGGGCAAGAATCTTGAGTTCGGCCTGCAGCCTCACAAAATCCCAGAGACTGAAACGGTATGCGGCGAGAAGATTGTTTTTATTATCGAACAGCTCTATCAGTTGTTTATTAATCCTGTGCTTTAGGTGTGCTTCTTAATGCCGTCATCGAGCCCACGATGTGCCCAGTTTCCCCGTGCTCAAGACAAGGTCCATTTCTACATAAAACTGAAGGAACTGCGTGACCATTTGAAAGGCCTGACACCCAACAAGGAGGTGATGGAGACCCAGTACTCATTTGATCTGCAGCTTGCTAAAGGTAATTAGAAAGAAATCATCTTTCATTCCTTTAGAGACAGCATGAAAAGTCAGCTGAGTACAAAACATAGAGAGGAAAACAAGAAGAAAAGGGACAAGAAGAGAGGGACAAAACCTAGAACAGATAATGGATGTCTATTCTATTAACATTTCTCTATCTTTAGAATGGATCTGTTTTCTATTTTGTCTTCTCAGTTCAGAGGGGCCCCTGCCTGTCTTTGCCTGGGGCCCCACATTTCCTAAATCCGCCCCTGACTCAGATGTTTTTGTGTTTGCAGAGGATGCTAAAAGGATCGCGATCAAAGAGGAGCAAGTGGATCCAGAATATGAAAGCTGCAGTGGGCTTAATGACGGAGAAAGGGGGGGCACCTGAGAAAGAGGAGGGGGAGAAACGGGCCATCTACTGTAGCACTCAGGTAGGGGGGGGGGGGGGGGGGGGGGGGGGGGGGGGTCTGTTAACGCAAACTGTTACAATAGACTCCTGTTCAAAGCAGGTTGAACATGTGGGTTGGTGTCTAAACAGACAAAATATCGCACCGATCACCATATTCCTATTAGTGAGGGAAAAATTCACAAGAATCATATATTTCTAACAGTTACCAATTTAAAACTGTAAACTATTAACCATATTGATTCCCCTCAATGCTGCACTGACCTTGAACTTTACAAAGAGGTTTGTTTACATGTTTGAGGTAAGGTGGGACAAAATGGTCATGAGTGGGTCTCACACAGGAGAACCATTTGGCAAATGTTAAACTGCTTGCAGCTGAAGCGTAATCGCACACCGGGCCTCTATCAGTATAAGGTATGGATTATATTCAAATCAATGCAATAATATCCTTCTGATGGTAGTACATTTATACCATCATTTTTAGCTTCCTTTCTCTGGAGTTCGTATTCATAACTTTTCTTAAATAGCTCTTAAAGAGACATTGAATTCAATTCAGTTTATTTATATAGGTGCCAATTCACAACACATGTCATCTCAAGGCACTTTACAGAGATAAATCAACCAGATCATACAGTCAGATTGGTCATTTCCGTAGTTGCTAGTTTTCTATCTAAGCAAAAACAAGCTGATTGCATCGACTCATTGACTCTTCAGCAATCCCTCACACTAAGCATGCTTGTAGCGACAGTGGAGAGGAAAAACTCCCTTTGAACAGGAAGAAACCTCCAGCAGAACCAGGCTCAGTGTGAGCGGCCATCTACTGAGGCCGACTGGGGTTCAATGAGACAGAAGCAGACATAGAAAAAGAAGCATAGATACAAAAGGCCACTGTCAACCAGCTCCACAGGCGGCCCCGTCCAGGAAACACACAGCCAGGCAGACGAGCTCCAACATCTATAAACAAAGGTGTTGATGGCAGCAGCACAGCTGATACAGTGGTGTGAAAAAATGTTTGCCCCCTTCCTCATTTCCTGTTTTTTTTCTCCTTTATTTAACCAGGAAAAGTCCCATTGAAATCAACAATCTCTTTTTCAATGGAGTCCTGGCCAAGACAGCGGCAAAAGATTACATTCCAAATGACATTACAGTTTACAATTACATCTATCTATAATTAGAAATTCATAAAACAGTTACAAACCATGGATCTCATTTCCAAACCTTTGAGCAATCGTTTAAAATGATTGGATTGGAATCAAATCCTTCAACTTCCAGTCTTTCTTAAGATCGTTCCATGCTGTGGGGGCAGAGTACTGAAAAGCCGTCTTTCCAGCTTCAGTGCGGACGCTAGGTACAGACAGAAGCAAAAACTCTTTTTTTGCATGTTTGTCACACTTAAGTATTTCGGAACATCAAACCAATTTAAACAATAGTCAAGGACAACACAAGTAAACACAAAATGCATGTGGTAAATGAAGGTGTTTATTATTAAAGGAGAAAAAACATCCAAACCCCTCCCCCCCCCCGTTAAAATATACTATAACTGTGTTTTTTTATACACCCGAGTTCTATTTCTCTAGCCAAACCCAGGCCTGATTATTGCCACACCTACTTTCAATCAAGACATCACTTAAATAGGAGCTGCCTGACACAGTAAAGTCCACCAAAAGATCCTTAAAAGGTACACATCATGCCAAAGATCCAAAGAAATTCAGGAACAATTGAGAAAGAAAGTAATTAAGATCTGTCAGTCTGGAAAGGGTTATAAAGCCATTTCCAAAGCTTTGGGAATCCAGCGAACCACAGTGAGATCCATTATCCACAAATGGTGAAGACATGGAACAGTGGGGAACCTTCCCAGGAGTGGCCGGCCGCCCAAAATTACCCCAAGAGCGCAGTGACGACTCATCCAAAAGGTCACAAAAGACCCCACAACAACATCCAAAGAACTGCTTGCCTCACCTACCTCAGTTAAGGTCAGTGTTCATGCCTCCACCATCAGCAAAAGACTGGGCACAAATGACCTGCATGGCAGAGTTCCAAGATGAAAACCACTGCTGAGCACAAAGAACATTAAAGCTCGTCTCAATTTTTCCAAAACACATCTTGATGATCCCCAAGACTTTTGGAAAAACATTCTGTGGAGCGATGAGACAAAAGTGGAACTCTTTGGAAGGTGTGTGTCCCATTACATCTGGCATTAAAGGAACACTGCATTTCAGAAAAAGAACATTATACCAACAGTAAAATATGGGGCTGTTTTGCTGCGTCAGGACCTGGAAGACTTGCTGTGATAAATGGAACTATGAACTCTGCTGTCTACCAAAAGATCCTGAAGGAGAATGTCCGACCATCTGTTTGTGAACTCAAGCTGAAACGAACTTGGGTTCTGAAGCAGGACAAAGATCCTAAACACATCAGCAAGTCCACCACTGAATGGCAGAAGAAAAACAAAATGAAGACTTTGGAGTGGCCTAGCCAAAGTCCTGACCGGAATCCTATTGAGATGCTGTGGTATGACCTTAAAAAGGCTGTTCATGCTCGAAAACCCTCTAATGTAACTGCATTAGAACAATTCTGCAAAGATGAGTGGGCCAAAATCCCTCCAGAACGCTGTAAAGGACTCATTGCAAGTTATCGCAAACGCTTTGTTGCAGTTGTTGCTGCTAAGGGTGGCCCAACCAGTTATTAGGTTTAGGGGGCAATTACTTTTTCACACAGGGCCATGATGGCTTGGATGTTTTTTCTCCTTTAATAATAAACACCTTAATTTACAAATTGCATTTTGTGTTTACTTGCGTTGTCCTTGACTATTGTTTAAATTGGTTTGGTGTTCTGAAACTCTTAAGTGTGACAAACAGGAAAAAAAACAGGAAATGAGGAAGAGGGCAAACACTTTTTCACACCACTGTATTTCTCTCCAGGATGGAGTTACAGCCAAACAGGAACAGACCAGATGAAGCTACTATGAGAAAAAGCAGAGAGAGCAGAACGTTAGAGATTGAACTAACAGACTCTGCAGAGTGGGAGAATAGAGATAGAATGAAGCAGAAAGATGAAAAGGGGTCCCCATGTCCTCCAGCAGTCTAAGCCTATAGCAGCATAACTATAGAGATAGCTCAACATACATACATGTGTAATGTGTTTTTTCTTCTTAGAAGTACACTGGCCAGAGGACAGAATGACACAGCGGCGGTTATGACCTGATCCTGGCCACAAGGAATATGAGCAAAGAAAAGAAATGGCATCAGGAGAGACCATCATCATGCACCCAAAGAACTGCCATGAAAAAAACACAGCAGCTATTTTTCTACCACTCTGGTATCAGTTTTTATCACTATTTATTGCATCTTGTAAATTTCTTTCCAGTGAATTATTTTGTACTTTGATACAATTGTAAGCTTTGATTTATCTGCTGTATACATGGATAATTGATGTTTTTTTCTGATTTGTAAGCAAGGCTTTAATAAACCTGGTCTTAAAATTCTCTTTGTGTGTTTTTAAATGAAATCATTGCTTCCAGCCATATAAGAACATTTATACACAATAATTAAACAAATGAAAGGGAAGCACAGCCGATAAATATACCCAGTAGTTGTTCAAATGGACTTGGTAATGTGTTCACTGCAAAGATTTTCTAAAAATTAGTAAAAAATGTCTCAAATTACGGGTATTTAACCTTGAGTTGAGCAGTAAAATAAGATGATCTGCCAATGAAATAAGCGTTTTTACCCTTAAAATAAGATAATTAGATATTATATATGAGAGACTGCAGTTGTTTTTTTCTATTTTAAATATAAATTGTTTTGTTCCAGTGGCAAAGTGTCTCACTTAGCTGCTTAATTCAAGACAAAAAGTTATTTTCTTAGATCTCTTTTTATTGCAGTGTTAGAAACTAAAGGATGATGCATCGAATGATTGGTGGTTAAAAAAAAAAAAAAAATTCTCAGTAGACTATATCACACTGGAAAAAATCAAAATCTAGATAAGTTATTTTTTTTCTTAAAATAAGTGCATTTGTTCTTGGATTGATGAGGCAAAAGAGACATTTTGCCAATGGAACAAGACAATTGACATTTAAAATAAGAAAACACAATTGCATTCTAATTTCAAGTTCTAATTATCTTATTTTAAGAGTAAAAATACTAATTCCATTGGCAAACTATCTCATTTACCTGCTCAAATTAAGGGTAAATACACTTAATTTAGGAGATTTTTACTAATTTTTACATAGTTTTTCCACTGCACCCTGTACTCTGTAAACGCATTCCAGCCAACATCATTTTATGGGAAATCTCCTTCATCTGTGAATCAAGGCATCACTGAGTCCCTGTAGCACCACCTCTAGATTCAAATGGGATGTTCTTCTGATACCTAATGGTAACAGGGTTCTGCCATGACTGACTGACCAACCAATAAACTGTTCTTAATGAATGAAGGCAGGTAACGTTTTGTCGTCCATGGCTTCATAAGACCATTTTCCATCCGTCAAATGAGTGCAGGGTGAGGCAGATGCCTGATGGACGTCGGCTCATAGAGTTCTTTCTGTCGTTGTTCTTCCTGTTCAGCCTGGTACAAAAAACATGAACTTGTACTGCAAGGTGGGTCTGCCATAAATAGAGTTGACGACACTATCAGATAGGGGTGCAATGATTATTTTGCTAATCGATTCATGTGTCGATTGATTAATATTCAGATAACAAAAGGTTCCTTCATTAAAGAAAAGTTTTTACAGGATTAAACCAGATAAAACTCAAACTTTTCCACCGGTGGAGTTCTGGATAGAGCATTCTCTTGATGAATGAAAAATTTTGATATAAATCTTTACAATTTTCTTACAATTCCTGCTCTAAGTGGGTCGTTCTGTCTGTTTCAAATAATAGCATTACATATTAATATGCAAGGGAACAAATTATACTATGGGGTTTAAGGGAGAGTATTATTAAAGGTAACACTGCATTAAAACTGGTGCAACAGGAAATAACTTTTACATTACACTTATTGCTGTAGATATTAAGTATAAGTATTGTTTTTAAGAGTTTTCAAAGGGTATTAAGTAGGGCTGCAACTAACAATTATTTTGCAAATAGATTAATCTGTTGATTGTTTTCAAGATTAATCGATTAATAATCGGATAGCAGAAGGTTCCTTCCTTAAAGAAGATATTTTACAGGATTAAACCAGGTCAAACTCAAACTTTTCAACTGGTGGAGTTCTGGATAGAGCATACTGACTGATCCTAAATGCCAAATGTTGATATAAATATTTACAATTTTTTTTTACAATTCCTGCTCTACGTGGGTTGTTCTGTCAGCTGAAGGCACATTTTAGAGACGCTAAACTCCAGTTAATGATTAATCGATTACTAAATTATTTGACAATTATTTCAATAATTGATTAATCACAATTTATCAGATTAATCATTTCACTCCTACTATCGAATAATTGTGAAGGTCTCCAAGAGAAAGCCTTTCGCAGACATTCTTGAACTGAACTGTCACAAACCTCAGGTTCTTTTTAAAATAATTGTTTTCATGATAAAACAGATTTCTTGTGTTGAGTCTAAATCTGCTATTTCTATCTTTCTTTGTGGAGAAGCTCTGATCATGATCTATCAGTTTCTTTTTTTTGCCCTGCATTGAGCCTGTATCACTGTCGCTTTTTTACAGCAGACTGTTGGTCATTTAAAGCCCGCAGGTTCTCCTCATGACTATTCCTCTTCATGGATCTGATGCCAACAGTTCAGGGTCTCCAGTCCTGCAGATTGTTAGCAGTCTGTCTTCAGGACTTGTTCCAAGATGTTTTAGAGAAGCTGTAGTCCAGCCTCTTCTTAAAAACCTGGTCTGGATGAAAGTCTTTGGTACTTTTAGACCGATTTCAGAACTACCTTTTATGTCTAAAATTGATTGTGTTCATACAGTTAACAGCCTTTCTTTTAGTAAATAATGATTTTGAAAGCTCCTGTCTGGTTTTAGATCTTTGAACAGTACTGATGCTGCCCTTTTCAAAGTTTTTAATATATCATTAACAACCATTCATATAGAGTGATATATACAATAATATATCATTTCTTAGCTGCTGACTCTGGTGAATGTGTTGTTCTTTTGCTCCTAGACGTAACGGCAGCCATCGAAGGAGTGGATCTTAATATCCACCACTGTAGTGGTTCAAGTCCTACCTGAGTGATCTGTCTGGGAACCACTGCTCCTCTTGTATGGAGTTCCTCAGGGCTCTATCTTGGCTCCCAGTCTTTGTACTCTTTATCTGCTTCCTTTCTTAGGAAGCATGGGGTCTCTTTTCACTTTTATGCAGACGAAAGTCAGATCTAAGTCTCACTGAGGGGAAACTGATCTAAAACATTTGGATGATGTGAAATCATGGATGACTTTAAACCTTGTACCCTTCAGAGAGCCTACCTTTACACAAACGTAGGTTTTAAAATGGATGGCCATCTTAAATCTTGTTGAGCAAAGCACACTTTGAGATGGTGATCCAAGCCTTTGCGACGCTCGGCTGGATTACTCTAATGCACTTTATTTTGGTATTAGTAGATCTTTAATCAGACAGTTCAAAATGCTGCTGCACCACTTTTAACTCGGACACGTAAGTTTGAACATACAGTATCTCCCAAGTTTAAGTTCACTGACTGTCGTTTAATTTTAGGATTCATATTATGGTAGAATTGTTTTATTTGGTTTTAAGTCTTATATTGTAGATCTCCTACACTCTTAAGTGCCATTTTATTTTCTTGGATCAGTGGATCACTTACTCCTGTCAGTCCTTAGAATGAGGTTGGTTTGGATTGGATAATGTATTGAGGATTTTCTTTGCCTCTATTAATCTCTCTTTAACTGCCTAACTTTAATCTGCCTATTTCTGCACTGCAAAAAAAGTTAATCTAAGTTAGTAATTATTTCTTAAAATAAGTGGATTTTTTCTTAAATTGAGCAGGTAAGTGAGACACTTTGCCAGTGGAATAAGAACATTTAGAATAATGAAAAACAACTGAAGTCTCTTATTTCAAGTGCATAATATCTAATTATCTTATTTCAAGGGTAAATATGCTCATTCCATTGGCAGAACATCTTATTTTCCAGCTTAAAGGAATAGTACACCCAAAACATGATTAGCCTTCATTTTCTACTCACCCCCATGCTGAACAACACCCTGGAGTACTTTTTTGATATCTCAAATGCATCTGGAGATCTGGGAGGCTTCTTGCTGTCTGCTGACATTCAAATAATGGAGGTCTATGGTGCCCGAGATAGAAAGGTCCATAAAAATCCACAAAAACGTGTCAATATTCCTCCATACTGCTCGTCCAATGTATTCCAAGTGTCCTGAGTGGGTAGCATCCAGAATTTACTCGAAACAAAGTAATTTAGAATGTTTTTAGAGCATAAACAGTAGTGTATAGTATTTCCGGAAAGCGCGCGCCAGCGCGTTCCGGACGCTACGGAAGCCGGCAGACCAAACCAGATGAAAGTGCGCATTCAGCGTCTGCTCTGCTGATAATGCAAGCGTAGAAGAAGAAATGTGCTGTTTACCTGTGCAAAGAAAGAAACAACGAAAGAAAAATGTCTGAGGACTTCAGTGTTGAGGAAGAGCAGGAGTTCTTTGCCGAGCTGAATGCGCACTTTCGTCTGGTTTGGTCTGCCGCGGTTTCCGTAGACTCGTGAGCGCGCTTTTAGGAAATACTATACACTACTGTTTATGCTCTAAAAACATTCTAAATTACTTCGTTTCGAGTAAATTCTGGATGCTACCCACTCAGGACACTTGGAATACATTGGACGAGCAGTATGGAGGAATATTGACACGTTTTTTGTGGACTTTTATGGACCTTTCTGCCTTGGGCACCATAGACCTCCATTATTTGAATGTCAGCAGACAGCAAGAAGCCTCCCAGATCTCCAGATGCATTTGAGATATCAAAAAAGTACTCCAGAGTGTTGTTCAGCATGGGGGTGAGTAGAAAATGAAGGCTAATCATGTTTTGGGTGTACTATTCCTTTAAATTAAGGGTGAATGCACTTATTTTAAGACATTTTTACTCATTTGTTCAATGTTTTTGCAGTGTGGTAAACTGGATGTGAACAATAATGACTATTTGTTTAACATCTGTGGGTCCCAGATATCTCCTCAGCAAGCAGTATTTGCACTGACCTATGAATCAGGAGTTCTTTTTGTGATTGTGTGACCATAAATGAATTTTGCTGAGAAAGGCAGATCAAAGGCTGATTTGTAAAACAGACATACATTCTAAATACTTATAGAGAAACGAAGAACAGGCATCTTTGGAAGAGACCTTCAGAACACTAAAAACAAGATGTACATTTAATGTGGCATGTAGTTTTTACATAGAGTGCAGCTTGTGCTGAAACAGTCTATGAAACGAGCTGGAGTTTTATTTGATTAACAACAGAAGTGTTTGGTGTCAGCCACAGGACGAGCTTTGGGAAATAAACTGTTTTCTGAGTCTAATGGT